GTCCCATAAGACCCCCAACGCTCCCTCCCGCCCTCTGAAACTCCAAGAAGAAAAGAAGTCACAACCCGTTCCTACAGTTGTCGTGAAGACTGAGCCTCCCAAGCCACCGACTCCACCCCCAATTAAGTATCCCATCGAAGATCTGGAAATTCCACCAGATCGCGAGAAGAAGAAGCAACGGCCGCCACTGAAATTTTTGGCAGCCGATGAAAATGATGATCCTGATGATGAAGAGCTCTTGCATGACAAGATCGAAATGGAATCAGTGGGCCTGCTATTGGAGACTTGGAACACTCTCAATATCTACTGCGAAGTATTCCAGCTAGACTCGTTCACATTCGATGATTTTCTCCAGGCAATGCGCTTCTCGTCGGATGACGTGGAATGCGAACTTTTCGTGGAAATCCACTGCGCTGTTCTGAAGAAGCTCGTCAACGCCGAGTACGACGACGAAGGGGCCGTACAAGTCTCATTGCCGGACCTTCCTGATGTTGAATCAGATGATTCCGAAGCCGAAGAAGAGGATGAGGAGGAGGAAAAAGAGCCGTCCCCGGAGCCTGAACCTGTTGTGACGAGAATGACAACGCGGAGTAGCTTGGCCAAAGCGGAGGCGGAAAATCTGAAAGCACAAGCGAATCGTAGCCGTGCAAACTCAGAAGATATTAAAGTCCATCGGGCAGGGGAGGTGTTTGGAGACTACGGTTGGATCGAACGTTTACGGAAACGAGATTTCCGCCACGGTGGATGGCAGATGGTGATGGTCGGCCTTCTGCATCAACTGTCAGCCCGACCACGGATGGAAAAGGTTTGCAACGATATTCTCAAACATCTCGCGCCACTTGATGTCGAGCCTACCCAAGAAACAGTGCAATCCCAGTACGCCACATTAAACGTCAACCTGCGCGTTCAGGCTCTTCAAATCATCTGCATGCTCAGTTTGGAAACGAAGGCTATTCGAAATTACCTGGAGGAGTGCAGCAATCAGATGACTGAGTTCCGCAAAGAAAAGATCGAGTATCAGAGGGCCCGGAAAGTAGCGTAAGTGCCTCGGCGACCCTCACAAGCTCCCCTGATTAACCATCTTCCCCCACTGCAGGCTCGAGGAACTCCGTCGATTGCACCAAGAGAGGAAGGCGCTCCAACCGGAGCAAGAAAAGTCACCGTCCCCCGTGCCTGAGTTAGAAGCTTTGGAAGATTCCAAAATGTCAGGTGTGGACGGCGACTCTGAGCAGGTCATGGATACCGAAGATGACGACGCGCCGCAGCAACGGTCGCTCCGTGGTGGTTTAGATAGGATTCTCGAACGGAAGCGAAAACAAGAAGAGGAGCGGGAGAGAAAAGAGCAACTGGCCAAGCAGCCAAAAGGATCGAAGCAGTACCAAAGAGTCTTGAAGAAGATCGAAGACCAGAAAGCTACCATTGAGAAACTGGAGAAGAAGATCGAGGTGGTGGATAATGACCTAAGAGAAGCCGATTGTCCGCGGACTAGGTGCCTTGGGAAGGATCGTTTCTGCAACCGATACTGGTGGTTCGAACGCAACGCGATGCCATATGGCGGCATGCCCAACAGCTCAACAGCGGAGGCTCATTATGCAAATGGTCGCCTTTGGGTCCAGGGTCCAGATGAGATGGAACGCGTCGGATTTATCGACGTGCCAGACGATCAGCGGAAACAGTATCAGAGAGAGTTTCACACTACCCCTGCAGAGCGCAAGAAGCATGAGGAAGGGCCCACCAGGCTTTCCGCTGCCCACGAATGGGGCTATTATGATGATCCAGACGCGATTGACAAATTGATCAACTGGTTGGATTCACGAGGTAATCGCGAGTCCAGACTACGCAAGGAGCTTCAGCTACAGCGCGATCATATAGCCAAGTACATGAAGTGCCGAAAGGAGTACCTGGAGCAGACAGCCGAACGAGCCGAATCCGAGGAGCTGCAGACAAAGCGAATGACAACGCGGAACAAGACCTATGTGGAAGACCACAAGCATCGCTGCTTGAAATGGCGGAACACGACAGCCCTGTCGGAGAACGGCCATTTACATGTTGACGCTTCACGGCCCTCAAAACGGGCCAAGAGAGTGACGGACGAACCCAAGGAGAACAAGGCGACGAATCGGCAGGGCAGACCGCTGACTCGGCAAGGTACGCGCTACAATCTCTGAGCAGCCATTGACTTGCTTTTGGAGGGAACTGGATTTGCAGGCGTTTCAGGGCATTCCTATTTTCGAGTAGGCATTGGATGAGCGACAAGCGTGTTCGCATTGCGCTTTTCTTCTACACACTTTAGCGACGAGACCATGAAGATTTGGGTTGATTTTGGTATTGCACTCTGGAAGAGCATCGCATCTAGAGCAAGGGTGGAAGGTTGATTGTCTGGGGCTATTTCGGTGTTTGTAAATACATGTTGCGCTTTTATCAGCCAACACCTGCATGGAGAAAGACATGTGTTCCATTACTCTAGAACTAGGTCCATATGATTGCAAGCGATAGTTGAATGCTGCCGAAAAGGTAAAAGAAATACTATCACCACACCACTACCTAGTCTTTCCTCTGAGAGTCCAGGATGACAAATGATTCGGCATCGGTTGGCCACCCCAGAATATCCGCCGCCACTCGGATACGGTCGCGTAATGAGACGGTATCGTGACCAATGTTTGGTGGCCATTGGCAGGTATCGGCATGTCAGAAACGTAACGGCTTTATGGTCTTGTGTGCTCCGCCTGCGGACCGACGTCAGTGAGGGCACATTATTTGGCAGAGGAGAGGCATGCGACCTTCTAGAGTTTCTGTCTTGACTTACCTTTTACAATCCTTCGAGTACGTTGCGCAGAGTCCATAGATTTTTGACACAATACTTGATTCCTGCGAGAGGAGCACTTTTCTGGCCACGATTTCCGTTTTATCAATGGCCGCGATTACCCGGTAGCCCGTGACATTCTTCTCAAAGCCTCCCCCACACCTGAACTAGGCCTCTTGCCTGGATTTCGCTTATGTCGACAGCATTTCCGGACCATGGGCGACTTGACCAGTCTCTTGTCGTATCGAGCTCTGGACAACATCACTCCTTAAGGACGGAAACAATCCCGCAAGACGGTCATCACATGGAACAAGCCGCACAGTCGAGACCCTCTCGACAGACAGTCGCGAGTGATATAGATTCCGCGGCTCATGCGAACCATCATGTCGATACCGGCTCGTCAGCGCCTGTGAAGCAGAATGGCCGCCTGCGTTCTACGGAGTTGAACAAGCGGAGTCTGGATTATGTTTTAAGAAGCGGGCTTGCGGGGGGTCTGGCGGGATGTGCGGTAAGTCAGGGTTTTCTCTATTTGAGAGGGCTTGCCTTGAGGTCCATGATAGTCAAGACATTTGGTCTTGGGTCTGGTTGATGTCGACAGGGACTGACATTTCTGGATGCATAGGCCAAGACGGTTGTCGCGCCGCTCGACCGCGTGAAGATCCTTTTCCAAGCGTCTAATCCGCAATTCGCCAAGTATACAGGCAGCTGGTTTGGCCTTGTATCAGCGGTTAAGGATATCCATCGACACGAGGGTGCCCGAGGTCTTTTCAAAGGCCATTCCGTGACGCTTCTTCGAATTTTCCCCTACGCTGCCATCAAATTCCTCGCATACGAGCAGATTCGTGCCGTGTTCATTCCCTCGCGGGACAAGGAGACGCCATTTCGCAGACTTATGTCTGGGAGTCTGGCCGGTGTCACGTCAGTGTTCTTCACATATCCGTTGGAATTGATTCGGGTGCGGCTAGCATTTGAGACGAAGAAGTCTGCACGGTCGTCGTTGGCAGGCACGTTCCGACAGATTTATAACGAGCGAGGTTCGCTGCCGTCTGCGCCCAGTGAGTTGACCGCAGCCAAAGGGACAGCAGGCTCGGTTACGGCTGCTGCCGAGAATGTCTCTTCTGCGGCGAACAAGGTTGTTCCTCGATATGGGTTAGCCAACTTCTATCGCGGGTTCACGCCCACCCTGCTCGGCATGCTTCCCTACGCGGGTGTGTCTTTCCTCACCCACGATACCGTCGGCGACTGGCTTCGCTCTCCCCCCATCGCTCGCTACACCACCATCCCCGGATCTGATCGGTCCTCCCACAGCCAGTCCCAGAAGGGGTCACGACGGCCACAGCTCACCGCTGCGGCAGAATTATTGTCCGGCGCTATCGCCGGTCTTGTGGCGCAGACATGCTCCTATCCTCTTGAGGTTGTTCGACGCCGAATGCAAGTTGGGGGAGCCGTGGGGGACGGACGCAGATTGGGTCTTGCGGAGACAGCAGGCAAGATATGGCTCGAGAAGGGTTTACGAGGGTTCTTTGTCGGCTTGACAATCGGCTATCTAAAGGTGCTGCCGATGTCAGCCACAGCCTTCTTTACATACGAACGATTAAAGTGGTCATTGGGGATTTAACATGTGAAGCCATGACTACGAAGCCTTTTCCTATGTTCTGACTTTCCACTTTACCTATAACCTCCTCATGATTGTGCCATTTAAGCGTTGCAGTCAACCTCTACACTATCGGTGATTTTTTTTTTATTACACCTTCCGCACTAGACCTCAATATTGGCGTCTTGAAGTGTGTTTTGCCATTGTTTCTGAATTTTGTTGTTTTTGATGGGTGACCAGGACCAGGACCAGCCCTCAGCACATAGTTTGACGGATACCTCTACCGTTTTGAGCATTTTGTTAGATTAACGGAGCATGAATATATCATGCATACACATGTGTATAGATGAAATATTTGTTATATACTGTACTCATGATACATTCGTAGTATGCCGCATGATGCATACTTTAATACCGTGGTCGGCCGGATGCCAAGTGATTGGCTGCGCACCGGAACAGTGCACGGACCAGTCGGCGGAACAAAAAAGTTGCATGAAGTTCCAGAAACCTCGCAACAATCAGAAATAACACCACCAAGCAACTGTGGTATAAAAAATTTAATTTTCGCTCTCTTACGCCAGACTGCAGTGGCAAAACAGCAACATGACGACTCGCAAAAGAAACGAATTCCTAGACATCGTCTCCGACGACGATGAGGGCAGTGACCGCGGCTACGACTCTGAGGCCGCGGAGGAGAGCAAAGGTCGATTGGCGAAGCGACGCAAGACACACACGCGTGCAGACGATCTCAGCGACGAGGGATCAGATATCGGCAGCTCAGAGTCAGAAGATGAGTCGAAGACCAGGCCCAAGGGCAAACCAAAGTCCAAGTCCCAAACAGCGGAACGCAGCAATGACAGCGACGACGAAGACGAAGACGGGGAGAGAATGCAAGTAGATCAGTACCTCGACGCAAAGACCACACACTCACCCTCACAATCACGATCGCAATCACCATCCACATCCAGCGTCAACTCCAAACCGACAAAACTGAAGAAGAAACCCCTCGATAAAATCCGCCCGCCCAAGAAGAACAAAACAGGCGTCATCTACCTCTCCTCTCTCCCTCCGTACCTTAAACCCTTCGCTCTGAAATCCATGCTTGAAACCCGCGGCTTCGGACCCATCACCAAGGTCTTCTTGACACCAGAGGTCCCATCGGCCTCCGCCCCTCGCCGACGATCCAACAAGCGGAAATCCTACGCTGACGGCTGGGTGGAATTCGCCTCGAAGAAGACGGCGAAGATCTGCGCGGAGACGCTGAATGCGACCATCGTCGGCGGGAAGAAGGGCGGGTGGTACCATGATGATGTGTGGAACATGAAGTATCTGAAGGGCTTCAAGTGGGCGGATCTCATGGAGCAGGTGCAGCGGGAGAGGTCGGAGAGGGAGGCGAAGAGGCGGATTGAGGATACAAGGGCCCGGAAGGAAGATAAGGTGTTCTTGCAGGGTGTGGAGCAGGGTAAGGTTCTGCAGGGGATCCAGAAGAAGAACGAGGAGAAGAAAAAGAAGAAAGGGGAGACGGGGGCCGGTGAGGGTGAGGCGGCTGCTGATGCGGCTGCGGCTGCAGCTGACCTCAAGGTCCGCAGGCTGTTCAAACAGAACGAGGTCAAGATGGGACGGGATAAGGTCAAGGATATCTCTACGTTGGAAGATGATGCGAAGCGCGTGCTGAGTAAAATCTTCTAATCTGCATGCATGCCGATACGCCATTCATAGATATCCAGTTACTTTGCAAGTTTCCTTTTTGTCCAAACTCAGGAATGTAGAATGTATTCTATATATCTGCATGAGAAAACTTTTTGATTGCCCGGGTATTGTTTGACCTAGAAGTCGAAAGCACATGAAACCTTGATTAAAACGCCATAATTCTTCAATGCAATGATGGTCAGCTCAATTGAGACCTCATTCCTCGTCATCCACGTTCAGCTCGTCAAAGTCGTCGAGCAACTCTTCCATGCTGATCTTAGGCGCTTCATCCTCGCTCTCCTCGTCATCCATATCCATGCCACCAGCACCGCCTTCGACATCTTGCATACGATCGTTCGGGCGGGCATTTTTGTTCTTGTACAGTTGCAAGGTACTACGCAATTCTTGGTCTTCTTCGACATCCCGCAGGAACATTTCAAAGTCAGCCTCCATGCGTTCGCGTTCCTGCTCTTGCTTGCGACTGAGCGACGCAGCCTGCTGCTGCAGAGCCTCCTCCTCGTATTCGCGAGCCATGCGCTTAAGTCGCCAGTTGCGAGTCTTCTTGTTCTTCTTGCGAGCATAGTGCTTCTTGACCAGTACAACGTCCGGAATAGTAGAGCTGTATTGACTGCTGGCTTCGAGGGCTTCAAAGTTGGGGTCGTTGAAGTTTGTGCCGGTGAGATGGTAACCGAGTACAGAGTCGCCGACATGCAGAATCCCTCCTAAGTGCGTCCGAGTAAAGTAGGTCTGATCGTTCGAGCCCAGGTCTGAGGCACGCGCGACAGTGGCCTCAGCAAGATGGAAACGTCCATTCGAACGGCCAACGGGCTCAATATCCATGATGATGAATTCCACGAGTTCGCTGACGTCTGCAAGGTTCTTGAATGGTGCTCTCCAATACACTGCAGTGGGCACTTCGGCCGTCTGAAGTGTGTTTGGATCAATCAGGTTGACTGCGGTGCTAACACGGTGGCAAAGGGCCAATGGAGAGATGTTGCCGAGGGACCTGGCCAGTTTGATGGGAAGAGCGACCAAATCGTCTTTGCAGATAGGAATCAACTCGACGGAGAAGGAGAATTTGTATGACTTGGTCGAAGTGTGGATATCCATAGAAATCAACTCCTGAGACTTCTTGACCTTGATTGGCGTCACCGACGACAGGAAGTCAATCATCTTTTCGGCATGGTTCCTCTGGGCAAAGAAGAAGTCCAATCCATCCTTTGCTTCCTTGATGTTGACCGTATCTTGATGAGCGTTGTGCTTGAGAATCAATTGTTCTAGGTAGAGGAATGTTCGTTTATGAGGGACCTTCTGCCGCACTTGCACAGAACTAGAGACAAAGTTAGCTAGAAAACCACTAATGTCGCCGGACTAAAAGCTACTCACGCTCGCCATGTATTGTGTGTGTATGACTTCGCACAGTCGGGGCATTGCTGAGCGTGAACAACATATTCAACTTCAAAAGCTTGCTGAACAATGGTTCCTTGGAACGCCTCCTGCTGAATTGTGATCTTGACCTTAATACGTCTCGAATGGGGTTCGGTCCAGATGAAACTTGCGTCAATGATTCTGACTTTATTCAAGCCCCTAAGCTTGCGTAGACACAGCGCCAAAAGCTCTTTCGATTCAAGTGAGGCGCTGACCCAAGCAGTTGGGGGCTGAAGCCATCTCTCACAATCTCTGCAGAAATGAAGGACAGCTTCGCGGGGTATACCCTGGCTGATATCGACTGTCAATCTAACACAATCTTGACAGAGCGCGCCCGCTGATGTTGTTCCGTCGATAGGAGCTCCACAGTTGCAACAGAGGATTCTAAAGAGTCACAAGCGTCAGCCGAAGTTCACAAGCCTCATCATAAAACACTTATTCAAATGCAACGAGTTGTGAGGGGACGGCTTACGTTGCAGAGATTGCCTCCTGAGGAGCCGCAAAGGGGACTGGGGCATCTAGATCCATCGACATCTTGAAGCCCTTGATGAAAAAAGACTTGAAATACAGAGAGCTCAAGAAGAGAATATAAACTCAGAGTCGTAGACTCTTGAGAGGATGATAAATGACTGCTTTTGCCCCGCGGAGGAAACATTTTTTTTGATGTGTTTGTCTGCTTATCAAACCATCCCGCTTGGTCAGCAATATTTGCATTGTTTGCACTATGGAGAAAGAACTGAATATCGGTCATTCATATCGCCATCCTTGAATGTCGCCTGACCTCTCAATTAGTCCCAGTTGATCATACTGCAAATGAATCGGATATTGCCCAAAGGCCCCAAGGGCCTTAATGGATTGTTTCGTGCATGTCCATCGAATTCGGGCCGTTCGTTCGTCTGCCGCTCAACTTACAATGTCGACCGTCGAGCCTTCTCGTCCGCACCTCACCTTCGCTCCGAGAACTCACCCTCCAGCAGTCAGCCATTAAAGCCTGATCCAAATGACGGAAACGGAAATCCTCACGGCACTGCCTATATGGCGCCATCTCAACATACACCGTGGTATCTCCAGGAAGAGACGCCGATTGACGAGTCGCGCCAAATTTCCTCTCGAGACCAGATCCCGGAGCTCCCTGAAAACCCACCAGCCATTCTGCCTGTTCTTCTTGATTACGTTTTCAAAGATCTTGGCTTGGATGAATTGAAACTACTTGACCTTAGAGGTCTCGAAACACCCCCGCCCATTGGCGCCAACGCCATCATGATTATTGGCACCGCTCGTAGTGTGAAGCATCTGAATGTTTCGGCCGATCGTCTTTGTCGCTGGTTGAGAAGCACCTACAAGCTCACACCTTATGCGGATGGACTGCTGGGTCGGAACGAACTCAAAATCAAACTTCGGCGCAAGGCTCGACGCGCCAGGGTCGCCAGTCGTGCTGGAACAACCGTCGACGAGAAGGATGATGGGATCACTACCGGCTGGATCTGTGTGAATGCAGGCGTTGTTGAAAACTTTCCGGTCGACGAACAGGCATCTCGGAAGGTCGAGGGGTTTGGCAACATTGTGGGTGGCACTCGAGTTGTTGTACAAATGTTCACGGAGGAGAAGAGGGCCGAAGTCGACCTTGAGGGCCTTTGGCTAGCTACCATTGAACGCGACAAACGCCGGAGACAAGTTTCGATAGACGACAAATCAGATGGGCCTCATGAAGAGGTTCGTGCTTCTACACCAGTCAAAAATTCATCCTCTGACCATGTTTTCGGACACCACTCCAGGCCTTCGGCGAGCCTTCCTCTGGCACAAAGAAGGAGTCTACACAGCACACGTCGGCTCGGCAATCCTCAATTTAAAGAGAATCAAGACAACAGCTTGGATATGTCTCCGGATTCAATCTCCACTGGAACTGACCCACTTGCCGCCAACCGTACTTTTGATAAAGAAGTTACTACTGATTCATTGCTTGAACACCTGTCTGGACTACCCAATGACCAGGCCTTGAGTGAATTAGGAGCTGGACAGGAAGATAGTGACTCGACACATTTTCTCCGCCTGTTTAACTATGCTCTTTCACAAATGTCCGCCGAAGAAGCAGCAGTGGCTCGGATGAAGTTGATATGCACGGCTATCTCTCGACGCCATCAGGGATACAGCAAGGAAAGCCTTTGGAAAGCTTTCATGACTTGTAACTACCACACCTATCCTATATCCGACGAACTGGGCATCGACATCGTTTCAGCCATGTTAACGGCTCAAACGGCCCACGAGGGAGGTCCCGAGGCTACTGGGGTGTTGCTAGAAGCCGACAGAGAACTCGCTCTTCGCGTCCTGGAACATCTTTCCCTGCGCGGGACTGATGTCCTTAATATGAAAGTGTTCCATTTGTTATACAAAGCAGCCAGTCATCCGACAAGCTTTTCTGGTGAAGATGTCATTGAAGATGTAACAGGGACTACTAAAGATCGGCCTGCATTGCGAGTATTGAAATTGATTGAAACCCTCAACATCCAGTTTGACCCAGAGGAGGCTCGCAAGCTTATGATGTCTTTGTTTCGCAATGGAGACTACGACAGGTTTTGGAAACTATGGCACAAGATTCCCCTGAATGGCAGCCCGCGTAACTCTGCAGACTATGAGATGCTTTTCCGGCTGCATGCAGAGTTAGGGGACGAGCGACGCGCCAGAGACTGTGTATCCACCTGGGTGCCCATGATGAGTCGGGAACATCCCCCAATTCCACTCAGTGGACAAGTAGTGGAGGATATCATGTACTGTATCGTGATTGCAGAACCGGACATTGACAGGTTGGCAACAGGAGGGTCAACGAGTAACCTGGCACTGATCTGGAACGACTGTAAAAACAATTCCCCGGCGGAAGCTTGATGTGGTTCTGCGGAGCATATAATTGTATTATAGGCCTATATACCCGTGTAAATTAGGAGATATCTGGATATAACATGTTGGACACGTAGTTTGGAGTGTTGCAGTAGACCGAATTCCGGCCAAGTCCATATCGCATATGCCCGGCGGCTGGCCGATGAACCTCGGCTGCCAAGTCCGGCGTCACAACGGCATCTTCCCCAGACTGGCGGCGATTGTCCGCTTCTTAACATCTGCATTGATCTGTTGCTTCAACATTAGCTGTTCGATGATGACTAGCTACCTTCTTCACGATGGAATACCTACCCAGTCTTCAGCAGGAGTTTGACGAGCTCAAGCCGTCGCTTTTTGGTAAGCGAACTGACCTTCATGATTGAACTCGAGAACCTCAACTGATTCAATTCCATAGAACTCCTCGCTGAGCAACAGCTCTCGGATCTCTTACCTCCTTCACTTCGATATCTCCTCGCGGTCGCTACACATCGTCATCCTCGCTATTTATTACGGATTCTAAACTCATACGACGAAGTCTACGCACTCCTGTCTCTTATTGTCGAGCGATACTATCTCCGCACGTTTGGCGGTTCTTTCACCGAGAACTTCTATTCTCTCAAACGCGAACGAGTCTTACGGACCAAGAATGGCGAGATCCCTCGGGCACAACTGGGCGCGCCAGGTCCCGTGCGCGAGTCTCT